CTTTCTATTAACATTTATGTAATCCAGAACTATTTTACATCTTGGTTGTTCTAGAGATCATTAAACAAAGTGGTACCAGGATAATCAAGAAAATAATTCTGGGTCTTTTCAGTGTATTTAATTTTTTTTCTTTTTGTATGGGACAGGAGGAGATTGGCATTCCACACTTGTTATTTCTTTACATCATCCAATGCACCTGGCTTAATCTTCCTTGGGCTTAAAGTACTACCTCCAAAAGCTTTCCAAATCTCTGTATGGTCAAAAAAGGCTCCCTTCTTCCCCTTCTATAGCCCACTTGTGATCCATCCCTGTTTTCCCATACAAATGAGTTCACAAATAATATTTATAACCACTGATGTTATAATAGTGAGCACTTCCACATTAGCTCATATATCCTTAAGGATATTTTTACTATTTAAAAAAAACTTTGCATGTTAGCATAAAAATAAAAATACCCTTAAAATGTAAACTATATAGAGTCTTAATAGAGTACTTCATTTTTAATCTTCCTTTCATTTCTGGCTATGCAACATTTTTCTTTGGGCAGTTATTCTTATATTTCTTAAACATCAAACTAAATACAAAGCTTAAAATGCAACATGCCCACAATTTTTTAGTTTCCCCTTTCTTTAGACTGCTTTGTTGTAATATTCTTACCATGAGAATCCTGTTGGAAATTTCAGTGGTGTCAGAATGGCTGGCCTTTAATACGAATGATCACTGAATACAAAAAGCATTCAAAACAACTCCCCACTAATCAATTTAAAATTTGCTTCTTTAATATGTTCAGTTCAAATCATTTTGAAAAAGTTATTAAAACTTTGTAAATATACAATATTGCCTCCTTTCTAGGTATAAGAGTAATAATATGTTTTCATAAGCAGAAAATGCAGGAGAACAATATAAAAATCATTGCTGTTTTTGTTGTGTTCTCAAATGACAAGGTTGCTGTCTTTTTTTAAAGCATCCCTTGGATAATAATATGAATTAGATCTCCTAAACCTTAAATGTAGATAAAAATTTACATTGTGATGGGAATCAGCTAAAATAGGAAAACAGATCATGTTGGTACCTGATCTGAATTGTGGTTAGACTGAGTTTCTTCTTGTCATTAGACTATCATTAGAAGTTATGTTAGTTTCCTATATTCATCTATTCAACACATATTTATTGAGAAACCACTTTGTGCCAGACAATATTCTAGGCATTTGGAGATGCAACAGTGAACAAAATGGAGGCAGGACCTTACTTTATGGAGCTTACTTTACAGGGTGAGAGGCGGGTAGGCTAGGAGTACAGCAACAAGAAGCATGCTAAGCAAGTACATTCTATCTCATATCTAGAAGGTGAGAGAGGGATTGGGACATGGGAAAGAGAGGAACTTCCCCAGGGTTATATAAAGTCTAGAACAAAACAACAGGTTCTAGAATTTTTAATCCAATGCACAATGTATTTTGTGAAGTGAGGTCTTATATTGCCAGGACACGATGGTTCCAGCTCTCTACAATTTCTCACATGGTTGAATGTACCACAGTGTTGAAAGTACAACTCAATAAAGACATAGAAATAACATATTAAGATCTGGAATTTTCAGGAAATGACTCTCCCATGCTTCTCTGCTGAGAAGCCAAGGTAGCAAATCCTTAGATGTTCATCCTAATCATCTGGTAAAAGGTGTTAGCATTAAGGAGCGTTGGGAAGACCCCCATTTAATATTTATGGCATTCCCAGCAAGAGCACAAATGGAAGCTATGACCCATACCTTTCCTTTCCTATCCCCAGTTCCTTCCTACACTGTGAGGTGTTTCATGTATGTGTGTATGGACAGCCCAGAGTAAGGAGTCAAGCTCTGTGCAGTTCCCGTCACAGTAGGACAGACCTGGTGCCTGTGCACAAAGCAGGCTCATGTCAATGGGCAAGAAATTCTCCCTTATCCTGAGTGTGATCTAGAAGGGACCTTTGGTTTTGGGGTGAACACAACCCCTTGGCATCAGTTTCTTTAGTGAATGTGAAGGACAAGGCCAGAGAAGGGCCAGAACTGGGTTCTCTAAGAATGAGGCCAAAGCAAATGTCCCAGTTGTCCAGGGCTTAAGGGCTGTATTTTATCAGAGGTGTAAGATAAACAGGGACCTCCGTGAGATCCAATAAGAAATAGGGCAGGGGCTATCAACTGCGTATTGGTTATATTTTAATATGTCAGGAACACTAGCCTGGAAGGATATCCAGTTCCACTTTACTGTCAAATCCAAAAAGAAAAGATAATTAACTACAAATAATAATGATAGATCACATATTTGTATTCCAGAATGACTTCCAAGAGGAGGTCCAAGAGAAAAGGCATTTTAAAATCTCTTTATTCATCTATTTTTGTAAAGCATTATGTAATCCCAATACAAAATTCAAAGGACATAAATAATATTCAGTGAAAAATGAGTCTTCTTTCTTCTCCCATCCCAGCCATCTGATTCTCCTATCTAAAGACAACCACTATTACAGGTTGTGTGTGTGTTTACGGAGATAATTTTATGTATTTACCACTCAAAAATACAGGTGTTGTGATACACTCAAAAATTTTAAATTTAATATAATTTGGGAGATTATTCTATACCATATCAGTATTTTAGGCTTTCTGCAGAAAATGATAAAATTTGTTTTGGCCTTTATCCTCCCTTTCTCCTGGTAATTGAACAGCCAACCTGTATTTAAAGATTTAAAAAAGAAGATTCCAGAATCTTTCCTGTAAATCTGTAAAACTTTGGTATTTTATTTTCCACATTTCTGTTACAAGCACTTCCTTCTGATTATTTAATATAAAATTTGAGTTAAAAATAAAAGAGCATCTCATCCGGAACCATATTTAGATTCAATTTCTATTTCAGTTTTAGAATTTCACTAAGTCTATGAGATGCACAGAAAATCAAAGATAAAAACCAGCTGTATAATTTCACTGACTCATGGGAAGCAGGAAGATACTCCATCACAGTTTCCCAAGCATCCCTGCTAAGAATCATTTGGATCACTGAGAAAATAAAGTTTCCCAGGCTCCTCCCTGCATGAGGAATCTCATTCAGTGGGTTTGAGGTGGGCCGTGGAGAGTAACTAGTTTAGCAGGTATAGTTAAATTTACTATATTACCTGTTACCTCAAACTCCATGACTTAATGCTGGGCAAAATGGTACGTGCCTATAATCCTATTAACTGGGGAGGCTGAGGCAGGAGGATTGCAAATTCAAGGAGAGCCTCAGCAACTCAGCAAGGCCCTAAGCAACTTAGTGAGACCCTGGCTCAAAGTAAAAAAATAAAAAGGCTAGGGATCTGGCTCAGTGGTTAGATACCCTGGGTTAAATCCCTGTTACCAAAGAACTTCCTAACTTAAAATAGCCACCATTATGTGTCACCTCTTACTCTTTTGTGTGTGGGTCAGTTGCTCAGGCAGGACACAGTGCAGATGTTTGTGCTCCATGACACTGGAGGCTTCTGCTAAGTGGCTCAAATTAGGGCAGGAGCACCTGAGGGCTTGTTCTCTGAGGGCAGTTGATGCTGACTGTCAGATGGAGCTACCAGATGAAGCTCCTACACTGGCCTCTGTGTGGCCTGGGCCATTCTTCAAGATGGCTCCTGCCAAGAGCCTTCCCACCTTCTGGGATTCATGCCTTTGTGTTGTTTCCCACATTGGATAAGGGCTGACCCGTTTGATCAGAAGAACATGGCAGAATTGACAGTGCAACTATAAAAAAATGTTGCAGCTTCTGCTAGGTCTCTTCTGCTTGTGCTGGAGGAAGCTAGCCACCATGACATGCCACCAGACATGAGGACAGTCTGCCCTGTGGAGGGGCCCACTTGGAAAGAGACTGAGGCCTCCTGATGGCAGGCAGCACTAGCCTGCCAGCCAGGTGAATGGTCCCCTTGGAAATAGGTCTTCTCAGGCCAGTCTGGTCTTCCAGGGACTGCAGCTCCAGTGGAGGTCTGACTACAACTCCTCAAGAGACGTCCAGTCAGAACTGCCAGCCAGGCCTCCTCTGAGTTCTTGTCCCTTAAGTCATTCAATTTAGAAATGATTTATTTCAGGGCATTAGAAAACGAATACAGCCTCCAGGTAGATCTCATTTTCACAATAATTTTGAGGACCCTGGCCTGATACTTTACTGATTATGAGGATAGAGTTCCAAGTGGGATGGAGGTGAGGGAAGAGTTTTGTTAACAGAAGCACTCTCCATTCTTATAAATGATCTTCTTAGAAATAAGCTGTGCCTGCCAAAAAGGGAAAGGAAGGATTCTACTTCTCATTTTTGTGATACAGCAAGGAATAAGATGAAGCTTTATCTCCTACAAGATTGGGGAGGAGCATTAGTCACATTTTCAAGGTTGTGGGGTAAAGCAATTCTGGACCTCAGGTTCTGCCAGAGGATAACTCCATGTGTAGGTTTTTCCTTATATTTTGATTTGAGTTTATATGCTTCTTGGTTGGTGTAAGCCCCAGACCCCTTCAAGAATAGAACTGTAGAACAACCATGTTCTCCATTACTCCTGAGATTAGGTCCCCATGCAAATAATAGTTTCCACCCTGGTTGTTTTTCCTGCAGACTGCATGTCAGTTAGTAATTGTTCTCCCAGGGAAAAGTCTACCAGGCTGATTCAGCTCTTTGTATTCCCACCGTCTGCCATGCAGCCCGGCTGTCAGTGTATTTTTGAAAGAGCAGAAACAATCTGGCAGTGAGAGAGTTTATTATGATATCAACTACAGAATATATTGTAGATATTGCAGGTTACCGAGGTTTATTAAAATATCAAACACTCCTTAACTATTCCATGCTCCCCCTGCCCTTTGGAAAAGTATAACTGAAATGCTGGGCGTGGTATTTTCCTATAGTAGACTTGTGAAATAAATATGAAAAGTTCTTCTGGAGGTAGTGGGAGAACTAAAGAAGCAGATTGGAAACAAGACTAAGACAAATATACCACTTGCATCAATTACTGACCATTGTCATTTTTATTTGCAGGTTTGTGCCCCTCACCATGTCTTGACATTTACTCCTTCAGTGAGAAGAGAGTGGGTGACCAGCTGCTTGAGATGCTGGAGGGCCCAAGGACCTTTGGGACATACTCTTTGCCCCCAGGTAGCTGAAGGATTTGTAAAAGAAACAGAGACAAAAACCCAGATATGGGAGCAACGGCAACACTGGAGACAGATGCCCCAGCTCAACACTGGAGATGTCTGAATCCAGTGAGTCGAGGACAGACCACGGGACCAAGGACAAGACTCAGCCTCCTTGGACGTGCATGGTCCAGTGTTACCTACGAGAGCAACTCAGAGCCATTCTCAGTGACCAGGGATGAGGCAATGTTTCCCAAAGTGTGGTCCCAGGATCACCAGGAGAGAAACCCTGGGGGTGAGAGAGCACTCGGTGGAACCCAGGTTCCTGGGCCTCAGGGAAGACCCTGAATGGGAACCTCTGTGAAATGAGCCTAAGAAGCTGCATTTGTTTTGGGGTTTTTTTTTTGGGGGGGGGGGTTTGAACTCAGGGGCACTCAACCACTGAGCCCCATCCCCAACCCAATTTTGCATTTTATTTAGAGACAGGGTCTTACTGAGTTGCTTAGTGCCTTGCCATTGCCGAGGCTGGCTTTGAATTGGGATCCTCCTGCCTCAGCCTCCCGAGTTGCTAGAATTACAGGCCTGTGCCATGGCAAAATTATCTTTGGCATCTTTGGCATCTAATTCTTAATTTTCAAAAGTTTGTGAAGAAAGAGTGGAGGTGCCAGTTTGTACTCTCTCGTTTTTATGAAGCAATCGACCAGAATCTGACAATGAAACCATCTCCAAGCCATAGGTAGATTTCCTCTCTTCTACTCAGCAAAACGCTCCCTTTCCTTATTCAAGCCATTCATCCATGACCTTGGGCAAGTGACTTAGGCCCTGGTTTCCTGTAAAATAGAGCAGAGAATAACTCCTATCTCCTGGGCTTGCCGGGAAGGGGACATGAACTAATTCTGTAGAGCACACACGGAGATGAGCTCAGTAAACGTTAACCTGTTGTTATTATTATTAGCCAAAGCAGCTAGAAGCAAGGGCATTCTGAGTCTCAAGTGCCCTCCACGTAGCCCCCTTTGAGTTTCCCGTGGCCTCCCGCTGCACCCTGGGTCCTCCCCAACCCCTCTGCAGGCTCAGCCGGAGGAGACCCTCTGTTTGGCACAGGCCCCCAGCCAGTGGGAGCCCCACGATGCCCACACGGTCCTTGCTTTGGTTTGGTCAGGAAGCGGCCTTCCCCAAACTGCTCAGAACCATATTTGCAAAGCAATTGTTCAAGACTAGGGGTGGGAGGTGGAACAGTGCAGGGTCCCACTGAACAATACGGGAGAGGAGGCCCCCAGCTGCCCAGAGGGACAGGAAGACTGGGCTGCGCGTGAGATCATGAGTTCGAGGCCCTGTGGAGAATGGGGAACCCAGAGCAAGCTGGGTGACAGCTCAGCTGCTGGCTGTCCCACCCACAGTACAGACCCATAGGGCTCGGAGAGCTCCACCCTATTGCTTGACATCCATCACTGACTGCCCAGGCTCTCAGGTGAGAGTCTGAGCTCCTCCTGCCTCTGCTGACTGCCCCTTCTCTCCCCAGCTTTGAACTGGACGCTGCCGGGAGCCCCCTTCACAAGACACACTCTCTCCTGCTGACCAGCTTGGACCTGCTGGAAAACCTCTTGCCTGACCTCCGCGACCTGCCGTCCTCCTTACAGCACCTTCCCGGGAAGCCTCCTGAGCCTCCTCAGGGGCCAGCACCTGCCTAGGATGAGGAGGCAATTTCAGTTTACCTGGCCACTTCTCCCACCTCGGCTGTGGACACCGCCGTGGGCCACAGGGGAGGCTGGGCCCCTGCTGCATGCTGTTGGGTGAGCCTGGGCCCTAACCTTCGGGCTTCCCCACCTCTGGTGCTCTCCTGACTTTTATTTCCAACAAAAATCATCAGTTCTCTGTTGAGGCTGCCCAGCCCCATGAGGGGTGCAGGGGACGGGGAAGCCTCTCCTCTCTGAGGGGTGTTATGAGCTGAGCTGGGTCCTCCTCATGTCCATATGTTGGAGCTCCAACCCCCAGAACCTCACAATATGAGTGCATTAGGAGCTGGGGTCTTAGAGAGCTAAGTGGGTTAAAACTGGGCCATCAATGTGAGCTCTATCCAATGCGACGGGTGTCCTTAGGAGCAGAGGACACTAGGGCCAGGCACACACAGAGGGACAACATGTGAAGACACAGGGAGAAGATGGCATCTACAGGCCAAGGAGGGAGGCCACAGAAGGAACCGGCCCTGAGGATACCTTGACCTTGACCTTGGACTTCCAACCTCCACAACTATGGAGCTGAATTTCTGATGCTTAAGCCGCTCAGCTGGGGTCCTTCATCCCTAGCGAATGATACAAGGAACTTAGAATTCCAAGATGGAAGAAGCCCAAAGCCTGTTGAACCTAGCCACCATGGACAAGGGCACTGTCACCTCCGCCTGCTGGGAAAGACAGGAAGGAAGGACCACGGAGGGTGCCACCGTCAGGGGTTAGGAGGAGCTGGCGTGGCTGAGCTGAAAGTGCCTTGAGTTCAGGACTGGGAGGGCCCCTTGTGTCCTCCCTAGTTGGAAGAATGAGGAAACGCGCCCAGAGAGGAGGAAGGACCTGCCCAGGTCTGATCCTAAAGGAGGAAAGCTCCAGCCCCGCCCCGCCCCGCCATCCTGGGGTTGTCAGTTTCAATGATTAACCACTCATTAGGTGCTCGGGGATCTGGCCTTGAGGAACCGCAGTTTTGAGGAGGAAGGCGTCTGGCCACTGGGGCGGGAAAAACAGCTGCTGTGATTTCACATCTGTATTTGCAGAGATTCTTCCTCTAACCCCGCCCCCCCCCCATGCTCAGGCAACAAAGAGCTTCCCTTGCAATGCCCTGGATCTGGGGTGGAGTAGAGAACAAAGGGGACCCTGGACACTATCTGGGGGCAGGAGAGAATGAGGTCCCCTGGGGGCTGACCCTTGAGCTGGTGTAGCCACAAGGACCCAGAAGGGAGGCAGGCAAGGTCCCATCCTCTCTCTGCCAGTTGCCCCTGTATTAGACAACTTCCTGCTGCTATACTGAAATACTCAAGGCTGGGTAATGTTGTAAAGAAAAGAAATTATAGCTCACAGTTCTGGAGGTTAAGGGCATAGCACCTGCATCAGCAGACTTTAGCTCATATCTTTCCTCAGGTGCTTCTTTGGATCAGTATCTCTTGGCATGAACAATGATCTCTGTGATTCGCTTGTACATGTCTTTGGCCCAGGTGGGCCTTGAATGGCTTTTCCTTTTATCTGACTGATGGTGAAAGATCCCTTTGTAATTAAAAGTATTTAAATCTGTCCCTTACAAAAAGAAAAGAAGAAGAAGAAGAAGAAGAAGAAGAAGAAGAAGAAGAAGAAGAAGAAGAAGAAGAAACAGAGACATACATGCAGTATTATGATGTGATCTCTGAGGTGATAAAGTGATAAATGAGAACTTTGATGTCCAGAGGGGAGATTGCTTAAGAGCAGCTTTTTAAGTATGGTCATGATGTTACAGGCTACATATGTGACAGTAGTCCCATAAAATTATAATGGAACTAAAAAATTCTTACCCCTAGTGATTTAGCCATCTTAATGTCACAGCACACTTATGTATTTGTGGTGATGCTGGTATAAATAAAGCTTTGTCACTGCCAAGAATATACAAGTATATACATACAGTTGTGTATAGTAATGTATCAAGTATAATATATAGGAATACATCAAGTATAATACTTAATAATGATAATAAAAAATTGTTAATCATTTGGTCTAAACTAATAGAAGGAAATACATTATTTGACTATTGAAGAAATTATTATTGTCAACAGTTTGGTATGTATATTTTTAGTCTTTATTCTATCTCATTACTTAGATATTATAGGTCTGTTTTAAAAATAAAATTGGAATTACATTATATTTTATTATTGTCTTTTTTCTTAGGTAGGGAGAACATATATCTCCATTAATAAATATCCTTCTAATATTTCTTAATGACTGTGTTTTATTGCTAAATGTCCAATTGGCTATTTAAATTGTTTCTAATATTTCCCACTATATAGACTGTAGTAATATAAACATCTTTTTAGCCAAATTTTGGTGCACATCCATCATTATTTCCTGAGGGTAAAATCCTAAATGTAAAATTTTTGAATAAAAAGGAAAGTAAACTATTAGTGCTTGTTGACCATTGCTTTCCAGATAAATTTTTACCAATTCAAATTTTATATATATATATATGAAAATGATGTGTATGTATGTATGTGTGTGTGTGTATGTGTATGTGTATCTCCTAACTTTGATAGCAGTGGCGGAGAAAAAGACATACCAGAAGAGGGAATGGTTTGAGAAATGGGGTCCCAGAAGTTTTGCTGGAGCACAAATTCTGTGTAGCATAGTGGCTGGAAACACAAATGGGAAAATTGTTTAAGGCTACACTGTAGAAAGATTAAATACCAAAGGTGGCCTTTAAATATTTTTCAAATCATTATAATATATGCATGTATGAATATATAACAACAAAACTCAGTGTTATGTATAATTATAGTGCACCAGTAAAAATTAAGAAAAGATACAGTTTTTTTTCAAGAGGCTATTGAGAATCACTGAAGTTTTAGAAGAAAATAGTGACAATTAAGCTTTTACACATTACTATCTAAACTGTACAAAGTGATATTGTCAGGCCATTTAGGGGATCAAACTTCAATGGTGGCAGAGAATAGAATGTTTTCTAAAACAAAAATGATGGCAATGTGAGACAGGAGGCAATGTCAAAAGTCACTATGATGTTTAGAGCCTATGCTGTACTCATATTAAAAGGACTGAGATGCCACTGGGTTATAAAGTTTGGAAGAAAGAGTTGCTAGAGGAAGAGGAAGATAGCAATTTTTCTTTTGGATGTTGTATTTGCTTTCTATCTTGAAAAAAATATATGAGACAATCAACAGAGAGAAGGTCTATTTTCATTCAGAGTTTTAGAGATTTCAGTTTAAGATCAGTTGGCTCCATTGCTTACGGGTCTATGGCACAGTAGAAAATCATGGCAGAAATGCATGGCAGAGCAAGACCATCCAACTGATGGCTAGGAATTAAAAGAGCGGGGAGGGACCAGAGTCCCACTGTCCCATTAAAGGGTAACCCCCCCAGTGACCCAAAGACTTCCCACTAGGTCCAACCTCTTAAAGATTTCACTGTCTTCCAAAAGCATCAAGCTGGGGACCAAGACACGGACTTTTCAGAGACATTGAAGATCCTAACTAGAGCAGATGTACAATATTTAAAATGTTGGTGAGCAATCCCAGTAGAGATGTGTAGCAGGCCCTAGAAAATATGAGACTTCAACTCAGGAGAGATTTCAGGCCTGGAGAAGTTAAAAAAAATGGTCATGATTTTCTTAGAGGTTTTATTGGTGAGATCTGAGAGAAAGACAGGGAGTATCCAGGTAAGGAGTGATTAGATTGTGTGAAGAAATTGCCAGAGGTTAGGGGAGAAATCACCCCAAAATATTAGAGATATTGGTGCCTACTGTTCACACAGTGCCTGTTCTTATCAATCAGACTGAAAAGCCTCATAATTCAAGTAGCATTGGTTAAGTATACAGAGGATCTTTCCTCATTGTAGGGAGAAATTTGCCCTAGAATTAGCACTTCTTCCTCATTCTACCTAGTCAACCTTAAAAACAAAACCTGAAAGAATCAGACTGTATCCTAACCGGCTCCCAGAGTAAGTTTCAGGCACATTTATAAGCATACATTCAGTGCCTAACCGGGCAAAATTCACAATTTCTTGAATCAAATAAAAAAAATTATAAGACATGCAAAGAAACATAAAAATAGAACTCATAATGCGAAGATGAACCAAACAACTTAAATTTACCCAAACTGACCCAGATATTAGAATTAACAGACAAAGGCATTAAAATAATTATGATTTGAAACATTAGGTGATGACATAGACAAAAATTTTGTTTCAAACTGCTAAAGATAAACATTGTAATGTGGGATAAAAAATTACTTTTCCTGTGATTAATTGCAGATTCAACATTGCAGAAGATTCATTAATATAAAGACTAATAGAAAAAAATCTGAATTAAAACACAAAGGGGGAAAATAATAAAACAAAATAAATACAACATTAATGAATTGTGTGGTAATGACAACTTCAAGCTGTCTTTTGTGATAGACCCCCTTATCTTTCAAAACTCCCCAGAGGATACCTGAAATATGGATATCATCAAACCCTATGCATACTGTATTTTGTTCTATCCATATGTACCTATGATAAAATTTAATTTATAAGTTAGACACAATAAGAGATTAACAACAATAATAAAATAGAATGATTATAAAAACATACTCTGGTGAAAGTTATACGAATATAGTCTGTTTCTCAAACTTTTGTTGAACTTTCACCTTTGTACCCAAAGAAAGCACTTATAGCTTCTCTTTGGCATGTTCATGTCATCAGCAACACTACTCTTGCACTTTGGAACTACTATTAAAATAAGGGTCACTTAAACACAAATACTGTGATACTGTGACAGTCAATCTGATAAGCAAGACAGCTAAGTAAGGCTGGTGACAAAGGGCCGATTCACAACCCAGGCAGAATGGAGCAAGATAGGGTGAGATTTCATCATTCTACCCAGAATGTGTACCATTTAACACTTATGAATTGTATATTTCTGGAATTTTCATTTAATATTTTTTTTAGAACAATTGACTGTATGGTAGGTAACTGAAACCATGGAAATAGAAACTTGAATGAATCAGGGATAATAGTAATGTATATTACTCCAAGTAATGTATATTACTCTATATACAAACTTGGAGTCTCCAGAGAAGGAGAGGGAGAAGTGGTGATATATAAAATATTTGAATAAAAATGGCCCAAAACATTCCAAATTTGATAACTGTAAATTCACAGATCCACAGAGCTCAATGAAACTCAAGCTAATAAATATGAAGAAAAAAATACAACATATTCAAATTTCTCAAAACCATTCATAAAAGAATATTTTAATAGCTTCCAGAAGAAGAAGACGTGTTACATATAGAGGGACAAAGTTAAGATTATAGCATATTTTTTATAGGAAGAAATACAAACAATAAGATATGGAGCAACCTTTCTTTTCTTTTTTTTTTTAAGTACTGGAGGGGAAAGTCTATCAATAAAGAATTCTATATCCAGTGAAAATATCTTCCAAAGTTACTGGAAAAATAAAGAGTTTTAAAGATATATAAAAGCTTATAAAATTCACCTAGCAGACCTGCAGTTCAAGAAATGTTAAAGCAAGTCTTCAGGAAAAAGGAAAATAATAACAATTAGAAATAAGGATCTACACAAAGGAATAAAGTGTTCAGAAATGGTAAGTCTCTTAAGTTTTTTTTCTTATTACTTAAATCTTTTTAACTGATAAGTGACCATAAGGTCTTTTATTAATATTTTAAAATGATAATAGACTGTTTATGTATTGTTATTAAAAAGATGCCAGAGTTGTTTGGAATTCTTAACATATATGAAATGTTTAACAAAAATAACACAAATGTTGGAAGGGAAAAAATAGACTGATGTAAGATTCATACGTTGTCATTGAAGTAGTGACAGTAACTTGAAAGTGTGGCCTATAAATTCTGAAACTACCTAGAATTATCCAAGAAAGGGGCTATTATAGAATCATAAACGTATTCCGTTAATTCCAAAGAAGCACAAAAACAAGGGAAGAAAATAAAGCACTAATGAAGCAAATAAAAATCTAATGCAAGTTGACAGGTTTAGGACTGTCAGTAATCACATTAAGTGAAAATGATCTAAATTTACTGATGAAAAGGCAAATATTACCAGATTGGATAAAAAAAGTACATAAATGAAAAAGCAAGCCTGAAACTACATCCTTCCAACAAGAAGCACATGTGAAATGTAAAGGCACACATAGGTTTATGGTAAAAGATGGAGAATGATTTCCAACACTAACCAAAAGAGTTGGAGAGGTTATATTAATATTAGACAAAGTAGACTTTGAGCAAAGAATATTACCAGGGTAAAAGATGGTAATTTCTTAAAAATCAAGATTACATTACCTAAAAAATAATACTAGGGTCAAATCGGGCCATTCCTTGCATTGATGATAGAATTAATTCATTAAAAGGAGATGATTATCTTAACTTGTATGGCTTATATAATTATGACACATTATATTACATGACAGAAAATTCAAGGGTATCTGATTCCAGGGTTGGCAAGTTCAACAGCTTGAAATATCATAAAGGACTCAGGTTATTTCCATATTTCTGCTCAGCCATACCCAGGATGTCAACTTGGTCCTTAGACTGGCTTCCCTTATGAATACAAGATGGCAGCCAAAATTCTAGGAATCACATCCAGACATCGAGGGGGAAAAAACAATTTTTTTCCCTGGTAGACTTGTCATTAAATGTCATTTGTCAATACTAAATCACTTCTTCACCTGTTAACTAAACCAAACACTGGAAAGGGGAATGGCATCATTTGGATTGACTTTGATCAGGGGTCAGCAAACATTTCCTATAATGGGGACAGATATGCAAATAATATAGTTTGCAGGCCATTTGGTCCCTACCACAACTGCTTACTTCTTCTATCAAAGAGCTGGGCATAGTGGCACAGGCCTGTAATCTCAGCAGCTCAGGAGACTGAGGCAGGAGGAATGCAAGTTCAAAGGCAGCTTCAGCAAATTAGCAAGGCCCCCCCTAAAAAACTTAATGAGTCCCCGTCACAAAATAAAATATAAAAAGGGTGGGGGATGTGAATCAGTGATTAAGTACCCCTGGTTCCATCCCTGGTACCAAACAAACAAGCAAAAGAAACACCCATAAAGATCAAACAACTAAAGTTGTGGTTGCAGCATCTTTTTTACAAAAACAGACAAAGGGCTGGATTTGGGGTATGAACCATAGTTTGCTCATCTCTGAATCAGACTAATCAGCTGAAATGGGGACAGGTTTATCTTCCTTGAGGGTTGGATACTTCAAAATTAGTGTTCTCTAAGCAGGGAATTCAAAGGAATGGCTGTTAGGTAAGCAATCAACAGTATCAGTACATATTATGTCCCTCTATCTTCCACAGTCTCTAACAGTTATTAGGTATTGAATAAATGCTGAATGACAT